TAATTATTTCCTTAGCTTTTTAGAATTAAAGACTTAGGGAATTAGATAGGTAACGTGGCTCTAAGTATTCTCTTGCTAGTCCTAAGTAGTGTCCCTAGACTAACACTATCTAAGCTCTAGAAAAGGGGTAGTAATTAGCGTTAATCTCTAGCCTATCCTAAATAGATGCTTGCTATTATCTAAAAGTAGGGTTAGCACTATTACTAAGTGTAGAGATATTTAGCGTCTTTTTAGATTATCTCTTAGCTTTTATAGCATACACTATAGGGTTTAATATAGAAGCTAAAGACTAGCTAGGTTAGGTAGTACCCTAGATCTCCTTATAGAGGGAGGTGTTGTACAACTAATTAGTAAGTTACTTAACTTATTCCTCTAACCTCTCCTTTTTAAATAGGGTTAATATGTATTTATCTTTAAGGGAGGTGTTGCTTTAAGATTTCCTAGGAGCACGAGGTACCTTAAGAGACAGATAGGAAGCAGGTCCTTCAAGGAGGGCGTTGTTAATTAAGTCTTCCTTATCTAATTTCTTTCTATTAGTAAATAGGCTTTTAAAAGCGGCTAAACTAGATACCCTTCCTTTGCCTTTGTCTAATATTTTGTAGTTAATAAGAATAACAAATCTTTTCTTTAGGGGGGTTTAGTTATAGGAGGATATTAGCTTTGCCTCTAATTCCTCTAGGCTTTTAGTAGTCTCTAGGTCTCTACCTTAACGCAATCTAACGCGATTTTTCTAAAGGTAATCTAGCACTACCTATAGGTCTAGAAGTCTAAGCCTATAGGCTTTAGTCGTTAGAAGTTCTAATAGCTATTCTAACTATAGAGTTACAGGGTTAGGTAGCTACTAGAACTAAATTAGTAGCTTAAAATAACAACAAATGCGATATTCTTAAATACTATTACTAGCTAGGATAATGTTCTTCTTATAATGTAACAACTTAGGTAGGTAGGGCACCTAAAAGGTATCCTATACGACTTAAAGGCATATAGGAGTGCGCGTCTGTATAGAAAAGAATAAGATTCCTACACCTATAGGTCTTGTACAAAAGGACAAGAAGAACATGCCTATCCTAACTATAGGCGAGCTATTCTCTATATACATTAGTGAGTCGGGCCTTTATTAGGCCTGACTTGGCATGGAACAATGGGCAGGCAATTCTGCCTTATTGTTACAGAGGGCTTATATTCTAGGAAAGTTAAGTTAAACTTACGCAGTAACTTAGCTAATACAACACTCTTTCCTAATAATCTAAACTATAAGGTAGCATCTAGCCTAAGGAACTAAACTCCTGCTTTAAGTAATTAAGCTTCTAATATAATATTTACATAAAAACCTTCTACTAACACCACGTTAGTAAGCACTAAATCTTCTGTTTTTAGACCTCTTGGTCTATTAAGAGTATTAGGGATTACTCTAGTCCCTCTACCTAAGATTAGAAAAGCTTAAGTTCCTACTTTAACTGTCTTATATTTAACTAATCTAAACAAGCTTTCTTCTAGGTAGCTTATATTATTAACTAGGTGCACTACACCCCTGTTGTTAAAGATAGTGCTCTTTAATAGAGCGTAAGCTTTAAAGTCTATAGTTAAATAGATCCTGTTTGTTTTCTCCGCTATTAATATAGGGTTAATTAGTACTGCCTAGATACTACCTAGATAGGTGATCACGCTTGCCTTACTACTATAATCTTGATTAATAGGATAGGACTTAATTAGAGCTTTTCTTAACTCTTTAAATTTTTAATTCCTATTAATCTTTTTCTTAATCTCTAATTATTAAGTAGTAGTACGCTTGTTACCTGTATTAGTCTAAGCTTTAATAACATTTTTGCATTTAGAAGGTTTCTATAGGTAAGATCTACTATATAGGTATAAAGACTCCTTCTTTAGTTAATTAGAAGGTGGAGCTCCTATTGATTGCAAGACACTCTGATGGACCTTGTAGAGCTGTAATCTTATATCGTTTTCTTAGAGAAGTAATAAATAGATCTTAGTAACCTACAGGAGGTTATAAGTTAGCTCTCCTATTACTAACTTTTTAATAATCCTTTAAAACATAGTTTAGCCTTAATCTAGTAAGATCCTAGTAGATAGAGCTTTAAGATAATCCTGTACTATAAGCTATCCTTTAATATTAGGAACGTTGTATACCTTAGCTTGCGTATATAGGATTGTCTACTCCTTCTGCTAGTAATTAGCGTCTTATCTACTTATCTTTGCCTTAGCAAGATAAGCTTTATACTATAATCTCGCTAGTGTTACAGCGCTTAATTTAGTTAGCGCTAGGTTATTGCAGAGTACTTAGATAAGTGCTTAGAGGGTTACTCTTCCTTAATTAACAAGCTCTATATAGGCTAGGGTAAGGATCCCTTAATCTACTATATTATTAACCTATATAAAAAGGTTCTAGATTACTAATAACTTTAATGCCTAATCTAATAAGCAGGCTTAGTACTAAGCTATTTTAAGTTTATACTGCTTGCTTGTTTTGTTAGATAGCGCAATATCTATTAGCATGTTAGGCTTAATAGGTCTATTCTTAAAGTAGTTTTTAGCATCCTAAGCCTTAGGGTCTACCTCTGCCTAGATCCCTTTAGTTAGGGCATGGTATCTAAATTAAATATACTAGGTAGGCTAGTTAGTTAATCTAGTAAGTAGGATATCCCCCTTTAGGATTTAGTTGCTTATAGTAGAAGAGTAATAAGTAAGCTTCTGCTTAAAAAATAGTATAAAGAAAGAGTAAAGCTTGCTAGCTTAGTGTCTAAGTTAAACAATACGCTTAAATAGATAGGACGATCTTTAATAAGGTAAAGCGCGAACTAGGCTTATAACTATGGAAATTTAGATTACTAAGGTTAGGAATAATTTAGGAGATAGATTATTAGATTATATCTACTATGATCGTACTTATATATATAGAGCTTTAGCTACCCTTACTAGAAGGTGAATAATTAGTAAACCTTCCTTACTAGAGCTCCTGCTTTTTGTTAGGCACTTAGTAGTAAGCTGGCAGTCGATTAGATAGTGGGTCCTATAGGGGTATTAATTAGGGTTAATTGGATCAAGATGCTCCGTGATCTGGTTAATATCCCTCCTACAACACTCTCCTATTAAGGGAAACTAAGTATATATAGCTATTAAGTAATTAGTATAGTTATAAAAGCTTTTATTTATTATTCTAGTATAGACCTCCTAACTATATAAGAAGCTATATAAAATTTATAAAGAACTTTATAAAAGGCTAATTTTTGCCTTAATATAGGTATTCTAATATAACTTAGGTATACTCTTATTTATAATAGTTACTATAATAGAATACTAGGTAGTTAAGAAACCTACTTATATCCTAATACTTATATATACTATCCTTAAAGTATAGTGCTATAGTATACTAGACTATAGGTAATAACGAGGACTAAATATATATTAACCTTACTTCTTTATCCTTACTAATGTAACAAGCTAGGCGCCCTGCCTATAAAATGAATACTACGTTATCTCCCCTGCCTATACGGAGGTAGCTTTCAAAAGTTCTTGCTGACAGGGGTGTCTATATTACCGCCGTGATACCACCAAAGCTTAGACTACTCTATCGCGCCGCCCCTCCGTATACTTATTACCACCTTCTAGTCTAATAATCTGCTAAATATAATACTATATACGCTCTATCTAAGCCTAGATTTAGTGTTAAGGTAGCTTATCCTAAGCCTTTAACTATACTTTTGTACCCTCTGCTCTACTCTTAAGAGCGCCCTTCCTAATAGTGCGTGGTGAAATACCTGTAATAGCACTAATTTAGGCAGTAGATTTGCTACTAAAAGGTAACTTTAGAGTCACAATAAGCGCACAGGTATAGGGATTAGTATTAGGAGCTATAGTAGAGTAAAAATACTAAAGGATTAAGTAGATAGACTATTACTACTACTATCTACAGCTTCAAAATTAAGTGTGTGTGGGCCAAGAAAGTAGGGCTAATAGATCAGCCGCTAACAAATACGCTAGCAAGAACTTTTGAAAGCCACCTCCGTACTAATTTGGCTATGGTCCAAAAGGTACGCACGAGAATGTAACAAGGCTAGGCTAAAATAGCTAGCGCTTACTAGATACCTAGGCTAGACTTGAACAAGGTTCATGGGTTGGCGCTAGGGTCTAGCACTATTATCTTAGGCTGTTTAGCTAAGATATATATATTATACTATGCGAGGATTACTTAGCTTAAGTATTCTCGTGCGTACCTTTTGGACTATGGCCAAGTGGTACAGGCAGGGGAGATGACGTAGTATTCATTTCACAGGCAGGGCGCCTACCTTGTTACAGAGAATACTTAAGCTAAGTAATCCTCGCATATTATAATATATATATCTCAACAGATAATAGTTCTAGACCCTAGTGCTAACCTATGAACCTTGTTCAAGTCTAGCCTAGGCATCTAGTAAGCGCTAGCTATTTTAGCCTAGCCTTATTACAAATAAAGACCTCATCTATATATAGTTTAAATTCTATAGTTATTTACTAGGAGGAGAAGTTTACCTTAGTGCTATTATATAGTAAGCTAACTAGGAAGAGTTTATAATATAAGGTAGAAGGGGGTAAGGGTAGTAGATTATTAAACCTAGTAGGCTTAGAGGAGGGTTAGGATAAAATCTAATTGCGTATTTCCTTGATAGCGTCAAGTCGGTCCGTTGCATGTAATTGCGCCCGTAACGCGCTACTATTCTATACACCTGCTTTATCTCATTAGTGAGCATATAAAGCTTCGGCAGTAAGCCTACTAGTACTGATGATCCTCAGAATTGAAAGATTAACACGGTACCCATGTGTGACCAGCGTATCCCCGAACTTTGTGAAGGAGGTAGGGGTGCATCTGCTCAAGGGTATAAAGCGAGTACAATCTGCCCACTTTATGTAGAAAGAAGACAAAGATTTCTACAAATTATCTAACTTTGATTTTCTCTTATTTGGCTAATTATATCATGCTCTACCTATCTTTCTTTTTATCCATGATGTTCTTCATCACCTCTGCGACTGCAATACATTTTTTCGACAACAAGGACTGTCAGCAAGTCGAACTATTACACACTTCATCGCTATATCGACTGCCCAACGATAAAGACTGCTCAAGCTCATGCAATCTGTTTTTCAAATCAGACACTGGCCCGTTTCAGGACCGGACAAAAGCTACCAAGGCTGCTTTAAACGTCTGTATGAAGGGCGGATCGACCGGTGTCTTGTTAAAGAAGGAGCTCATTAACAATAATAATCAATGCTTGTGCACCTTACAAGACACTCTGTGGCGAATGGACAAAAAATGCGATAGCAGCATAATCACTAGGGAATTGAATGCAAATGGCAATGATGCTGTAGTCATTGTTAAATCTGTCCGTTGCACCAAATAAAAACACCAACTACCGGTACTGGTACGGTACCATAGGTGGCCAGTCCTCGAAACAATACCAAGGGTTATCTCTAAACCTGCCACGGCTCAAGTTCCACCAAGGCAGATTCTGGAGACGGTAAGAGAAGAATACGACGTCGAGTTAATCATATCTGTGCGCGGCAATGATGGACAACAATATAAGCTGGATTAAAGAGAGGTGCTGGTTGGGCTTTTGGCTACGTTCTATTGTTTGTGTCTAGGTTGAGAATTAAGTATAGTGTTACTTTGATAAGAAGAGGTTATATATTTACTTTGATAAGAAGGGGTTATATATTTACTTTGATAAGAAGGGATTATACATTTAAGTTAGCAACCTCGTCACAACGCCTTGAATCTATTTTCAATCTACGGTCACTATAGAAAAGGGCCAAAGGACCTAATCTACGTTGGCCAAGGCAAATGTTGTTCGTCCGGGTCGCAATAAGCTAAACATCTAGGTTACAAGCCTGCTAAACCTATATTATGTTATGGACTGGCCTTAAGGGAGAATGCAATGAGCGTCATTAATAGTATTCAGTATCTTAAAGGAGAGGTAAGCCCTCCACGCCCTTTTTTAAGGGTGTGCAGTATGTGTTCGCTTAGTAGTAGTAGTGTTAGAATTAGTCTATCTTGTGTTAGACCTAGGCTTGTAACGACTCAGGTAGGTAGGGCATCCAAAAGGTATCCTATACGACTCAAAGGCATATGGGAGTGCGCGTCTGTACGGAAAAGGATGAGATTCCTACACCTATAGGTCTTGTACAAAAGGACAAGAAGAATATGCCTATCCTAACTATAGGCGAGCTGTTCTCTATATATATTAGTAAGTCAGGCCTTTATTAGGCCTGACTTAGCATAGAATAATAGGCAGGCAATTCTACCTTATTGTTACACTACCCCCTCCTGTAGAGAAAGGATAGTCCCTATCCTTAGGATTAGGTTTAGATCCCTCTTTAAAGAAGAGCTTTTGCAAAATAAATCCACCTTCACCTCTGCCTTTACCTTCACTTCTTCTTCCCAGGGCACGGACCCCTATCCCTGGCCTGCCTATAACTAGCCCTCTACCTACTAACTTTCTCACTCCTATATCCCTAATTTTTTAATTATTTAACCTAATTTATCTAAAATCTAGTAAGTATTTAATCTATGTAATTAAATAGTTGCTAATCTAAATTAGAACCTTTAGCCATGCTAGTACTAGTACTACTAGGAGTCCTACCTGTTGCTTATCGCGCTCTCTGTATAAGAGTAGTTAGGGCTCTAGCTAGGGGTAGGTTTAACAATTTTAATTTTAAGTTAAAGAATTCTAAGAAGTGCTAGTACTATATCTCCTAGAATAAGTATTGCAATCTAGTAAGTATCTAAGTCTAATAGGGTTCCTTTACTAATCCTAGCAGATTCCTTCTTTTATTAGCTAAGAGTACTCTGCCCTTAGGGGTGCTCTAGAAGAATACTACAGTCTAATTAGAAACCCTGCTAAAGGGGATAAGGATAAGGAAGCTGTGGTTACCTATTAGAAGGATATTAAGCAGTTTAAGGCTACTATTTAAGAAACTGCCTAAAACCTTACTAAGTGCGTTACTGTTGCTAATACTTAGACTAAGGGTATAGAAGCTACTAAAATCCTTATAGCTACCTATTATACTGCTATATCTAATTTATATTAGCTTTAGAACAGTATTTATAAGATAGTCTTAGTAGTTAGGGGCTTAATAAAGGCTGTTAACAAGCTTAAGGAGGAATTAGCACTAAATTAGGAGGCAACTTTCCTAGTCTAGGCTAAGATAAAGGCGTTCTACAAGAAGGAGTCTAAATTAGTCCTAGCTCCTGTCCCTACTCCTACACCTGCTCTAATTCCTGCTGCACTAGTTATCTAGAAGCTAGCAAAGAAGGATAGTCTAGGCGCAATCTTAGCTAATACAGAGTCTAAACTAGGTTCTAATAGAGAGATAGATATAGAATAAAGAGGTTTCCTAGGGGTAGTGTCCTAGGAACCTTTAAGGTTCTAAATAGGATATAATAATAAATAGTAACAAGAATAATAATAATAGATAGTAGTTAATAGATAATGCGTAGCTAAATAGGATGTGAATTAGTTCTAGTATTAGGCGTGATTATCGTGAAGTGATGTTAGATCCTCTTTGCCTTTTTCCTAGGCTTGAATCTATTTTAGTAAGCTGCGTAGGGGACCTAGCTAATTTAGATACTATTAGTGGAATGCCTGTAATTTATAGGGAGCATCTATAAAGTTAGAGGCAGGATACTAAATAGGATTAGGATCATGTCTAACCTACTTAACCTTATATTTTAGCTTAGATTAGTATAATTTGCTAGCTAGGATTTCTTCCACCTCCTATTCCTCTACACCTTGTATAGGGGTACTAGGGGGTTTTAGAGCCTCTTATCTAGGCAACAGGTCTTAGGGATCTTTATATAGTATATTAGGAGAGAAAACGTTATAGATCTTAGAACTAGGTGGCAATTAGAGGCAATACGCGTTTCCTACTTGTTCTAATACCTTAAAGGGACCTTCCTATTGTTTAGATAGTTTTTAGCTAGGTTGTGAAATAGCAAGATTAGCGGTGGATAGATAAATATAGTCACTAACCTTCTAGTTAACTAGACGGCGATAGCGATTAGTAGCAGAGCGCATTTAGTCTTAAGCTCTTTCTATATTTTCTTTAGTAATCTTCTAGGCGTTGTGTATCTAAGTAGCAAGGGATAAGGCGTCCTTGTGGTTCAGTTTCTCTAGTATAGTGGATGGGGTCTTTTCTAGTTTCTAATTCTAACTTTGCTTTAGTAAGGAACCAAAGAGGAGCTAATATAGAGCTATGCTAATAGATAAATATAGAAGAGTACTTTAGGCACGGTCTATTATAGGTAGTAGGTTGCTCTAGTTATCTTAGTAATAGGATACAAAAGGCCTTAGTCTCTGGTTAATATACTTGTTTATAATCTTAGTTTGTCTATTAGTCTGTTTATGGTAGGTAGTAGAGAGCTTGACTTTAGTGCCTATAATCTAATAGAACTTAGACTAGAAACTAGATACAAACTGAGGGCCTTAATTAGAAATAATAGTATCTAGAGTATGTCTAAATTAGTACACCTACTAAACAAATAAGGTAGCTATACCTTAGGCGTCTATAGTTTTGTGGCAAGGGATAGTAATAGCTTGCTTTAATAGGCGATTAATAATAACCATAATCTAATTGTAACTACGTTAATCCTAGGGAAAATCCTTAAAATTAATGCACAAGTGTTGCATAGGTAGACTAGGGATAGGAAGGGGATAGAGCATGCTAGGGAGTTAGTGCTGTCTTAGGTGCCCTCTCCTACATAGGATGCAGTTCTAAACGTAGCGTTTATAGGTAGTCTCTATACCTTTCTAGTAGTAATATTAGGCCAGAATCTAATAGGTTTTAGTAGCTAATAGGTAGGTAGTAGACACTTAATTATAAGCCTTACGAATTAGTCTAGTACATAGGACTAATCTAGCAGGCACGCAAAGTTAATCCTAGTAGAGAAGGAGTCCGTTTTCTATCTAATAGTGCTTAGGTAACTCTAATCTTTCTATTAGGAATAAGGACCTATTTTCTTAGAGAAGAGTTTTAATAAGTTCTAGGGATCTAAGAGTTATAGGGTTCTAAACTGCTATAATTAAAGCAAGGATTAGTAAGGAACGCTTAGCTAGGTAGTCTTGCGCTAAGTTAGAGTTAATTTAGGGGTGTAACCTGTCTAGGGAGATTATTACTTGTAAGCAATTATCCCTTTGCGTAGTCTTAAGGTTAACCATATCCTATTCCCTTCTACTTAGGATATTAGCTTAGGCGTTATAAGATCTAGGAGTATACTTAATTTAGAAGTTAAAGGGACTTATAACCTCTAGCTATCTAGCTTGCCTAGCACTAAGGACTTTAGTAGACATAAAGTACTCTAGTGCTCTATGGTCCGTGTATACTCTAATAAGGTGCCGAGTACTTGTTAGGTTAGCACGCCATTTCTTAAAGGCGCAGATTATTGCAAACAATTCTTTGTTATAGATTTCCTAATTAAGTTTAGAACTAGTAAGGGTCTAACTAAAGAAGGATACAGGGTACTATTTCCCATTAGGATGCTCCTGTAAGAGGACAGCTGCAATAACTCTATTAGAGGCGTCTGTCTCTAGTTTTAGAGGGTACTTGGGATAGAAGTAAGCCAAGCTTAGGATTGCTAGTAGGGCATTCCTAAGCTAGTTAAAGGCTTGTTAGCATTTCAAAGTCTATATAAATAGGGTAGCAGGACTCTAGAGGGCGGTTAAGGGCTTAGCTGTCTTAGAGAAGTTTTCTACAAATTGCTAGTAGAATCTAGTAAATCCTAGGAAGGACTTTACTCTAGTTATCGTCTTAGGAGCGGACTAGTTTTAGAGTACTTCAACTTTATTAGGGTCCACCTCTAAGCCTTTGTTAGTTAGGATATAGCTAAGGTAACAGGTATAGGTTATATAGAATTCGCTTTTCTTAATATTAGCCTGTAATCTAGCAGAATAAAGACGCTTAAGGACTTTTTTAACATGGTCCTTATAAGTAGCAAGGTTTTTAGAGTAGATTAGGATGTTATCTAGATAGGCGATGCAGAAGTTATCTAAATAATCTATTAGTATATTATTTATGTAACGCTAATAGGTTGCTAGTCTGTTACACAGCCTAAACGGTAGGACTTTGCATTTATAGGTACTATATCTAGTGTAGAAAGTAGTGTACTCCTCTAAGTTAGGGTCTATTTAGATCTTATTAAAGGCAGCACGAATGTCTAGCTTAGTAAAGATTTTTGCTTTAGCTAGCTAGGACAATAGATTATCTATATAGGGTATTAGATACGCGTCCTTTCGCGTTAAGCTATTAAGCTTATAGTAATCCACACAGATCCTAAGGCCTCTATTTAGCTTCTTAACGCATAGGATAGGAGAGGCAAATAGGCTCTAACTAGTCTTGATAAAACCTTTCTGTAGGTGCTCTTGTACATATTCCTTAGTAGCCTAGAGTTCCTTAGCATTTTAATAATAGAGGGGACTCTAG